ACCCCCCAAAATGAGGATCGCTTTAACTGGGGCCTTTTTTGGGAGGATTTTGGGACGTTTTGGGCATTTTTTTCCCCACTTTTGGGGGGTTCTGGGGATTCCTGCAGCCGGTTTTTGGGGCGATTTTGAGTGTTTTGGGTGGAGGGGTTTAGTTCATTTTTGGGGGGGTTTCACCCATTTTTTTGGGTGTTTCCGGGGGTTCCCGGGGTCCCCGAGGCCGTTTTTGGGGTGAGTTGGGCCGTTTTCGGGTCACTCACAGAGGTATCTGCGGTTCAACATGTCGAAGACCCTCCCGGGGGTCCCGACCACGACGTGAGGGGCCTCGAGCTGCAGCTTCTGGACCTCGGCCCTGACGTTGGTGCCCCCGATGCAGGCGTGGCACGAGGCCCCCATGTAATCCCCGAGCGCCATCACCACCTTCTGGATCTGGGACGTCAGCGGTGACGTCAGCGGTGACGTCAGCGGGGGAAAGAACGGCCCGAAAAAACCCCCAAAATCCCGTTTTCGGCCTTAAAAAAAAAACCCCCCCCTGGCCCCCCCCCCCCCCCCCCGGGAAAAAATTGAGGTAACCCCCCCCCCCCCCCCCCCCCCCCCAAAAGTTGTCCCTCAGCGCCATCACTGCGCTCTGGATCTGTGACGTCATCAGTGATGTCATCAGTGATGTCACCAAAGAGAAAACCCATGCCAGGAAACCCTCCAAAGTCCCGATTTTGGCCATAAAAATCCCCCCTGGATTCAAGTTAATACCCCCCTTTCTTCCCCAAATTATCCCTCAGCACCACTGGGATGTTATGGACCTGTGATGTCATCGGTGACATCACATGATGTCATCGGTGACATCATAAGGGGGAAGAACGCCCCAGAAAACCCCCAAAACCCCACTTTGGGCCCCAAAAACCCACCCCTGAAACCCACTGAAGACCCCCAAGAACCTTTAAAGGGACCCCCCAAACCCCTTCAACCCCCCCCCTCCCAAATCCCTCAAAACTTCCCAAAATTCCCCAAAAAAACCCTCCAGGACCCCTTGAACCCTCCCTGGGACCCCCAAACCTCCCAAATTCCCTGAAACCCCCCCGGGACCCCCAAACTTCCCCAATTCCCCCCCAACCTCCTCCCCCCCCCCTGAACCAGCGCCGGTCACTGGTCCGGACTGGGATGAACTGGGAGCTCTTTGTTCTCCCCCCGCTGGATTCGGGACCCGGGGCCACGGGGAGGCCCCGCCCTGCCCAGGCAGTGGGGGGACTGGGTTATACTGGTCTGTACTGGTCCATACTGGTTTATACTGGTCCATACTGGTTTATACTGGTCCATACTGGTTTACCTGCTGGGCCAGCTCGCGGGTGGGGGCCAGCACGAGGGCCTGGGTGGCCTTGAGGTCGAGCTCGACCTGCTGCAGGATGGAGATGGCGAACGTGGCCGTCTTCCCCGTGCCCGACTGCGCCTGCGCGATGACGTCATAGCCTGGGGACAGAACAGGAAGTGATGTCATAGCCTGGGGACAGAACAGGAAGCAATGTCATAGCCTGGGGACAAACACACAATGATGTCATAGCCTGGAGACAGAGCAGAGTGATGTCATAACCTGGGGACAGAATAGAGTGATGTCATAGCCTAGTACAAAACAGGAAGTGATGTCATAGCCTGGGGACAGAAGAGAGACAATGACATCATAGCCTGGGGACAGAACAGGAAGTGATGTCATAGCCTGGGGACAGAACAGGAAGTGATGTCATAGCCTGGGGACAGAACAGGAAGTGATGTCATAGCCTGGGGACTGAACAGGAAGTGATGTCATAGCCTGGGGAC